GAAAAATATAAGAAATTGTAAAAAAAATGTAAATAACACAAAAATTTACTATGATGACTAACTTTTGACCTCTAAGTAAAAGTTTTCAGAATGAAATTTTACTTATAAGACATGATCGTTAATGTTAGATATATAGAGAAATTTTGATATACTACGACCCATATCTTTTTGGCCAGCAGCTTGTGATTTTCTTGATATAAAGAAATTCCCTTGACAGGAGATCACACTGCATTTCATGCATAGTGTAGATCTATCCCGAATAAGAAAATGTTTAATTAAAAATTACTAAAATGTTAAATAATGATATGTATGTATTTTTTTAATTACTATGATAAATAATTTTTTTTTTTATTAATTATATATCATGTTAAGCATTTTGCAATATTGTTAATGTTATATCAATCAATTGCTATTTTAACTTAGAGCAATTACATCATATTAAGCATTATTTATTATTTACATTACTATTAGTAATGTTATCTGCAAATAGTATTGATAAGCACTAGTCCAGCTTAAGAAGCGATCTAAGATTCAATTGTTGCAAGAAGTCTTTTCTATCAGCTATAAATATTTTCATATCAACTGTTATATAATTTAAATTTTTGACATTATCAATTACATCTTTGTTTAAAAGGATTTCTTGAACAAAGAGATTAAATGATGATCGTATGAAATTGGTAAATTTTTTAATATTTTCAGGCCGATCTCTGAACATTCTTTGCACATCTGTAACATTCATATGATGTTTCAAGAAAGCCACCCAATTTCTTTCTGTAATATATTCAGAAATATGTTGTATTGTTGGCTGTTCACCTTGGTTAATCTATAATTTTTATTAATTTGTTGATTTTTTTTAAATATTGGCAAAAAATTTATTATAATAATCTTACTTATGCTTTCTAATAAATTCTGGGGCCAGCTTTCGAAGTTCATGTCTTAATGCTGCATTATAATCTCAATAACACTCAAAAACCCATCTCTGCAATGCAGCACGTTCCAACGCACCAGCATGTTGAATATCTGAAAACAAGGATCTCATTAGCATGTCAATAATTTGCTTGTTTACTACTTATGTACGAAAAAAAAGACATTTCAAGTGCATCTGAAGCATTACGATATCCTATCTAAAAGGAAGTAAATAACTGTGTTATCAACATTAATCAAATAGTATATGATTGCCACAAAGCTAAAACATACAAATATTATAAGATTTGCATGTTTTAGCTTTGCGACAATCATATCAAAATTGGGTTTTGGAATTGCTGCCACTTGCAGAACCTTAATCAAAACTTACCCTTTCTGGAAGC